AAAAAAAAAAAAAAAAAAAAAGGCTAGCTAAAGTACAAGTAGCTTATGTGAAGTCCCAGTGTATCATATATACAAACTCTTGACCATGTGCAAGTCAGTTTATAAACATATAGTAGCTGGAGAATGATGTTCTAAAACCAAAACAGAAAAAATTAAATAAAACTATATAGTTCAGATACAAACAAACACACACGCGCGCGCGAACACCCACACACACAATCATATTTGTGTGTATGTGTGTGTGTGTGTATTTGGACAATTAGGCACATGGTACAAGAGCCAGTGGGAGCCTAAATGCGGACACAGGGAAACTATTATCCGATGGTATTCCAAAAAAACAACTAAACCAAATTTTGGACATTAGCTTACCCAAAAGATAAGGTTCTTCAGGGTATACAAAATTACAGAGCCAGCACCTCTAAGATGCTGAGGCTCAACCTATGTACCAAATTCATAGTGACATGACTCCTATGGGCCATGAGATGTAAAAACAGATTCACAAAACTTTCCTTTAAATGCATGAACAAATTGACACAACAGACAAATACGGGAAGACATTTCCGAGCCTTAGCTGTACAAATCCCATTAGACTCCATTAATTTAAGGTTTTGCTTATACTTCATTCTTTTACATATTCTATAGAGGGTGGTGGTAACAGGTTTTAAGATTAAGATATGCAAAAAAACTCACCCAGAAGACCAAAACTCAAACTTAGAGGACGGAAAAATGAAAAAGCAACAGGCAAAAGGAAATGACTTGACAGTACAATATATGAAGCTGTCCTCGTATCACTAAATAAGTAATACCTTCAGCAGTGGCATGTACCACCGTAAATCATAGCGTTCCAAGAAAACAAAATATCAACCTGAATCAGTTTTTCGAAAATGCAATACTAACTTCCAGGGGCAATTATAATATCACTGACGGGTGGTAATTTTTTTACCAAAACCAACCAAAAGTACCTTCTTGAAACTTTATAGACAGTCCTCTGATAAAATGCAGAAGAGACTTAAAAGTACAACGGATTCTTTTCAACCTTTTGATAAAATGTAGAACAAACTTTAAAAGAACATTGGATCCTATTCAACCAGAAATGAGCACAGGCAAATTGTACAAACCTCAATATCATCAGTGTCAGATAAACTCTCTGATTCATCAAAGGTAGCATCGGTTTTTTGGAGTCTTTCTTTACTAGAATCATCCACGGTTTCGTCTTGGTTAGAAGCTCCTGGAAATATTCTTTTAATCAGATTTCAGGAAAGACATATAGCACGTTCAAGTTGGACATTCTATCACATGCAGTGTAGTGTATAAAAAAAGTACAAAAATAGTCGTGCCTGTTAAGTTTGATTGTACTCCATTCTCACACGTATCATCGATTCTCCTTTGTTGATCAGACTATTTCACATGCAAGATGAAAAGGAAGGTTGTCATTAAAAGAATATTGATAAAAGAAAAAAAAAATGAGAAACCATTCATTCTAGGCAAATTAAAACGAGCTTACAAGGTTCAAGGAAATAAATGAGAGGAAAAATCAAGAAAACAATTAATTAGACGCAAACATCTAAGCCAAATCACACTGGGAATGGACAAGCATTGGCAGAAAATCAAAAAATACATTTACATTTTTGCTCCTGTTTTCTGCCAACGCAGAAAATTCCGAAGTCTTAGTTTTTTGGATGGCAGCTTCCTTTGCCATTAGTCTTTCCATCTCTGCACGTTGGAAAGCCGGAGGCTCTGACCCGCCATTAAGACCTCCAGACAGTTTTATAAACTGCACACAACCAGCACAAGCGCTAGTAACATACTAATGAAATCAACATTAGTGGCAAAATAGTGCACAAAGCAATCAGAAAAAATTACCTCTTCATAGCATTTTTCACAGAGACCATGAGCAAAAGGAGGCTTCCCACTACCCTTGTGCTCACAGAGAAGTTCCTTGATCACAGATGCTTTTGACCCGGCATTGAGGGTATTACTAAGCCTCTCTTCTTTCTCAAGCTCATCTGCTTTCATGTTGAACTCTTCAATCTAGTCAAATACAAAAATCTTTCTTACAATATCATCAAAAGGAATGACCAAAAAAAAAAAAAAATAAAAGAATCTTGTCATAGCAAGAAAAGTATTCGTCATTTAAATTAAATAGAGGTGCAAGACCAAACATTGAGCTATTAGATTATACGCAGATATTGACGTTGACGCAACAAGAGAGAACTTATCAAACACTAATTTTGACTGTCTAGCATATTTTTCATGCAACAAAACATACGAAACACAAACGGGTGTCCGAATAAATACAAAAGCGATACAGAGGCAGTGGAAGTGTGGAACTTTAAACATACATGAAACAGTGTGATTCAAACTCAAAATAATCAATGTTAGAGCCTATAGGAATCAATAATTGAGGCATTGAGGGCATAATTTCACGTATAGATCTTTTTATATTTAAATTTCTACCTATATAGCCTGCAAACTTATTGACTCTAAAGTCTTAATCAATGCCATAAATGGGAATAGTCGAAAATTGCGACAGGCCAAAATCCCGCCACAGTGGCCGCCATGGTGGCCTGTGGTGCTTCCATACCACCACCTTTCACAAATTTCTCATGCGGTTAGGCAAGAATCCACCACGTAATACCGTCATGGTGTCACCATGGCCACCATTCCATAACATTGTTCATAGCAAAATATAAGAATTCAAATGCTTCTGAGAGTACATACCGTCAGGGCTCCTGACTCAGTATTCTCAAATTCAATCAACCGCTTCACGAGAGTTGCTTCACATACGTGCACAACTTTAATCTGAAAAAAGCAAATAAAAGAAATCAGAAATTGTTCATTAAAGAAAGCTCGCAAGAACAGTTCTAATGTTACAATCAATTTCAACCTAATCTGCATCCCACAAATAGCACAGCCTGAAAAGGGAAAGATCAAGCAAATATCTTCCCCATAGCATAAATGTTGCAACCATATAAATACGACTTATATGGAGCTACACTCACAATTTCAGACTTTGTACACTTGAGACCATGCGAGAGAGCAGATATATACAGAGCAGCTCCACATAGTCCACTTGGTTTCCTCCCAGTCTACAATCAGTTAACAATTAGGTTAGCAAAGATTCATTCAAGAATTGAACAAGTGTAAATTAAACCCCTCCCCACTCTTTCACAACCTGCATCCAATCACGCTTCATGCTAGCAACAATCTGAAGTGCAGTTTTGGAGACACTTGGTTTTCTGCCACCAAACAGACCTACAAGGAAGACTTCAGTGATGCTCAAATACGACCAGAACGGACAAAACATAACAATATTTTTAAAGAAAAGGAAGAAGAAGAAAAAAGAAAGAAAAACAAAAACGCAGGGGGAAAATTATAAACCAAAATGGGAGCAAGATTAACAAATTAATAGGCTTTGAAGAGAGATAAAAGCAAAAATAAGTTTGTTTTTCATTTTATTTCTTTTTCTATTGATATTAGGTTGCAATGAACCCTATATAAGTATCAACAGGTGATTTAAGCTTCTTGACAAAAAAATCTCTAATTCAAATTCAATAATAAATTACTCGGTTGGTGAAGACTAGGACTTTATTTATACTCGTATAAATTACTTTAAGAACTGTTAAAACAAAGCAAAAGTCTAAACATACAAGCATCAACCAAGTATATAACACCCAATATCATCATTAATGGATCCGGAGGTGTACTTACGATCAGTAAACCTGTGGATGAAAAGGCTAGGATCCACAGGTTTTTGAATAATGGGATGCTCTTCAAGGCTCAAGAGTTTGCAAAGCTGCAAAAATACTGCCCCTAGCACATAACTGGCAGAGCATCCAGAAAATAAGATAGTAAAGAAATTTTCATCACCCCAAAAAATAGAACATGTCTCACTTGAAAAGGTAAAAAAAAATTTGAAGATTACATAATAAGCTTCTGTCATTTCCTAATTGAAACAAGACCAGTGATTTTGACGGATATTAGTACAATTTAGTGTTCTGCCCTCTTTAGTTAAGTCAGGGAATCGGTCATTCAGGAATATGATACACTTTATCTTAATTGTGATTGGTTAATTCTGGTTATCTTATCCTATGGCTGAAATATGATAGGCCTTACATAAACCAGACCTTGTTCCACTGGAATGCCTTCTTAAGAGTAATTACTTCACCTTGACCGAGTCACAAACAACTTAATAAAACAAAAGTATAATCACACAATATGTTGATTCATGAATTCAAGGCCAATATATCAACATTTTCAAGAAATGAATGACGTACACATTTATCCTTAGATGTTCTGAGAAATCAATAAGAAGATACGGCTTTTTGTTCTCCCTGTCAAAGTAAAAGACAAAACAGAAATCAGAGTTCTCTGTAATAAGACAATGATAGAAGCAGAAGTAAAAAAACCAAACAATTTTTTTTTTCATCTTCGCATGTAAGTTTAAGGAACATGAATATCCCGATATCATATTCTTCATAAAGTCAAACAACAGGCTAATTATCATTGATAATTTCAGTCTTTTTATTATCATATGCTTTTTTAGGTCTTTCTCTTAAATTTATTAATAATATTCCATTAACAATGGCCATGCAATGGAAAAGGACCTTAAGGAGAGCCTTTACCTACAAGCAATGTAAAGGCAAGAGGCCTGCACTTGCTCTTTCCTGCGACCCCTAGTGAAGTTGCGTTCAAGTGCTATCTAAAAAAGAAACAATAATTTATCAGTACAACAAATAACCAAAAGAATATTTAGAAACACAGACGACTAAATAAGAACATATACCGTATAAAAGGCTAAAGCTGGCCGAGCTATCGAATCACCACCATCAATTCCAAGTGCATACATCATACCATCTATTCCATCATACGCTGCAATAACCAATGAAGTTCAATAACATACTTAAAGCATTTTTCAAAAAGAATATACACCTAATAAACGTCTAGAAGGTTCGTACTAATTTTAATTGGAAACAATCTACTTGAACTCCAATTATGTGTTCAATCTGCAGGCAGAAAATGAGTTGGCACTACATTAATATAGTTTTCCAGAAAAAATTACATTTAATTGCATCCGTTTCTTATGCTATACCAGCACATAGGTGAAGGTTTAATAAATCGTATAAACTAACCCATAATCAACAGGTACGTAGAAACTAAATGCTGCCACTGTTTATCATCCTTAAAGTGTTTCAGACCAAATAAAACTGCAAGCACTACAGAGGCATGCATATCTAAATTTTCTGAATTACTCTGATGTTCTACACATGTCTCAGCGTCATCTGAACACAGCTAAGCATCGTAAATTACTTCAAAGAAAAAAGGACAGTGAAAAAAAATATGGAAATACATATTTTTGAAAAATTAGAGGCATAAGAAAAAATACTGAAGTGTCAGGAACGTGCTCAAAACAAAATTTGCAAAATCACGTCTTATGTTGGAAGTAACAACATGAAGCATGCATTTCTCCTTTCTCGGTAGTCTTTGTAGTTCCTACTCTTAAACAAGATTTCTGAAAGATAAGTAATGATAAGCATACCTTCATTCAGGGTCCTCTCACGAGAAACAGAATATTCATTTTGAATGGTCCTCACGTAATTTCCAGACAATTGGCTCTGTGAATGAATTTGCGCCAATTAATATACGACTCAAACATTCTTTAATATAAATAGAATTTCAATGGTAATGTTTAACACTTAGTCCATTTTCTATTCAACATCCGACTAAATACGAAAGCATAACAAAATCACTTAAACCTCGTTCACAGAAAGAATTGGGTTGGGACTTGGAAAATGTGAAATAATAATACAAAATTAAACTGCAATCTTTCCTGTCTCACCTCCTATCAGGTTTAAAATTCATATGCTGATTTGAAACTACAATGTGAGTCTTCATTAGACAATTCTGAATTATTTCACTAGTGTATATGGAATGTACATATTAAAACATAAAGATTTTACGTGAAATGCATGAAAAAATAAGCAAAATAAACTTATAACCCATAGTAAACTGCTAGTCAATACAACAGAACATGAAAGATGCCAACAAACCAAATTCAGAAATGACGTTCCGCGAGCACATCAACTATCTTAAAGAACCTGTAATAACTAACCAATGAACTTTTCTAATTGTGATCCACTTAGAAATTAGAATTCAGCATATATACCGACTGAAAAACAAACATAACTACAAAAACAAGAGCAAACCTGTCCAGCTGCACCTTTTACAAATGTCGGCTCCACCGAAAAATTATCCTCATCCAGAACTCTTCCACAAAGAGAACAGCATCTGTTTGTTGATAAATCATTAAAAACTTTTACCTCAGTATCTAACAACACAAAATGTAAAAACTACTCAAAAAAATCGCCCTTTAAATTGGGGTTGAACTACCTCAAATAAATATAATATATTTCTCAGCTAAAGTGAGTAAAACCAATGAATAACTAAATAGATCAAGAGACTGAGATGATTACATTTTGCCCTCGGCTCTATCAGGTCGAATGATATCTTTGGCGCAGTTACTACACCACACCATACCCGCACAACCTGAACACAATCAAAGGGTTAGTGAATCAGAAACTAGGAATTTGAGAATCCCTATAACATCGCAAAAAGCCGCTCAATAGGATTTGCAGACATTAAAGGATTGATCTAAACCCAATAATTTCACTCCTGCGGCGACGTAATTGGAACCAAATCTGTAACGCCCCGTTATTTTTAAGAGAAAATAACCGAATATTTTCTAAAAAAATCAGAGTTAAATTTTCGCAAATCAATTTAAAAATTTGTTTAACGGGCGATACTCAAATATTCACATTTAAATAGTTAAGTCAACACTTAACCTACGGGGAAACAACCCTACCGAATAAGCATCTCATGCCAACATATACCATGCTACAAATAAAATCCCAATATAAAAATATCCAAATTCCAATTTCAAACATGCATAATGATCCAAATACATGATCCGATTTCCAAAACAAATATTCTAACATGGTTCAGTTTCCAACATCAATAATAAATAAGTCTGGTAACGAGATAAATAACAAATAAACAAGCAGAAGCACTAACAGTTCAAAACCAACAAATAATATGACCCCGCCTCGCTCGTCTTTCGCAACGGCCACCAGCTCAACTTGAAAAGAGAGATAGTAGTGGGAGTGAGCAAACAACTAGCTCACAGTCTATTCAATATAATGACTTAAAATCATAATCGCAGCATGAACACAAATCGTCTAGCCTACTTCCTATACCGCTCTACGATCGTGTGTACACCCCTAACAGGCCATTCACGGGAGCTAAACCGTAGGGACAAGCCCATTCACAGGAGAAACCTCTCAATAGGCACACATAGGAAAACGTCGGAACTCCATCAACGTGAGAACCTCTCATAGACTAACGGTTCACATGCATACATTGATTATCAATCCAAGCAATTATAAAGAATAACATAAATGGTAAGGTTTATCAACACGCACTTGAACCGCTTAGTGACTGACTGAACTGAAAGAATGAACGCACGTCTGAATGAGGGCTCGACTTCTCTTTAATCTACAATTTAATTATTTATCTTATTATTAAAGGCGGCACAAACCGGCAAAACATACACGCAGATATGGCAAACAAGGCAATTTAGGCAAATTAGACAAATTAAGGCAAACAAAGCACAAATATAACTTAGCAACCAAAGGCTCGAAAACACGGCAACAAGCATCACGAAAATAAGGCAAAAATACACAACACAAAACATGTTATTCACAACCAAACTTAACCATGCTAAACAAATCATTTAAGGTTGAAACCTTAACACCTTAAACACTCACTTTCAACCTAAACATGACAATAATATATAAGTACTTATTTTTTTATTTTTTTTTTCAAATTCACACAACACATATAAAAGCCTTATAAACTAAAATACATGCTCTAAAAATACTTCTTTTTCAGCTTTCTAATAACATAATGAGTTCAGCAAATGCTACAGCATAAGCACCAACAAGGTGATGCCAAAATACATCACAATATGAAACCTTTTCTTTCTCTTTTTCTCAAAACTCTAGCAACACATTTTTAGGCCTCATGAACTGAGCAATCTCTGGTAAATTCAGCGTATATAACATCACAAAAAAGAATCAAATTCATGCTCAAGACTTGGAAACACAAGGCCTCAAGAATAAGCACCACATGCATCTTCTTCATCTTTCTTTTCTCAATATTTAACCAACACTTATAAGGCCTTATAAACTGACATGAATGCTCTGAAAGTTAAGCAATTTCAGCCTATAAATCACTCCAACACGTCTTAGCAACAAGGCAGTAACAACAAAGCCCGAAGTCTCACAATAATCAACTCATATCTTCATCAATTCTACCAAGACCCTAGCATGCACTTATATCTTTTAAAAACAGGTTTCTAAGCATACTTTCGGCCATAATAAAGAGGGTAAACTCTCAGCCTTTAGAGCAAGTAATAACACAGTTACGCAACAGTCAAAGCAACGGATTCAGAAATTCAACAATTAATCATACAAACAATTAACCTCAACTTTTAAAGATCCGAACTTCACATAACCAGGATTTAAACTCACGAATTAACAAGACGGGATTTACGAAATTCACCTCTCGTCGGGAAATTACAAGTAACAAAGCAGACCTCGGCCACTCGTACGTACCACGGATGGCTCCGGCTGAACAGGGTCGCTCGAACGACGGCGGCTGAACAGCGGTTGCTCACGGCTGGTCGCGTTTGGTTCCGGACGACGGTCCTCGGGAACTTCTCGGCTGTGCACTGGCTCTCGCCGGAAAATGGGCACGTCCTCGCCGCTGGTAGCGCTCGGAGATTGCTGTAGGGTCACACAGACAGTACGCCGGCGAAGTTCTCGTCGGTTTTGAAGGTTGCGGTCACCTTCAATCGCTGCTCTCGACGGGGTGTCGAGCGTCTCTCGGCTGCGGACTCGCGGCGGGGTTGACTTTCGTCGGCGAAGAGGGCTCGCGAGGGCGCGCGTCTGCGGCGACTAGAAGGGCGAGGTCGCCGGTGTGACTCGGCAGCGGCTGATGCCGGCGATTAGAGACCGCTCGATTCGCGAACAGAGAAAGAGGGGAGGGCGATTTCTCGGCGGCTGCTAGAATTTAAAGGGGCCGAGCTTAAATAGAGGAGGAGACTAGGGAGATTCGCCGGATTTCATGGAGGAGGTTGAGAAAGGGGTTCGCGGCTACTGAAAATCGACGGGAGACGTTTTGCACGCAGGAAGGAGAAAATGGCCGTACATAATAACTCAAAATGGGCCGGTGCTTGCACATAAATTTGGGCCCAAACGAAAATTCAATATACAAGGCCGTTAATAACAAAAAAATGGACCGAAAACTCCACAGAGAAGGCCAGAAATTCACTTCATTTGGGCTGGAATTAAAATAATATTCCGCCGAAAGTTAAAACAATAGAATTTGGGCGATTTAATTTACTTCCAAACGGACCGAATTTAATAATCAAAAGATTGGTTTATAAGCTCAAATGGACAAATATAAATTCTGATGTCCGGATACAATCTCAAAAATGGGCCGAATCGGAAATAAGCCGAAATTGCCGAAACAATTTAATCTAATAACTAAAACAAATTCTAATAATCCATAGACATAATTAAATAAATAAAACACATAACATTCACATAAATATTTATCACTTAGCAATAACAGCGGATAAAACAGATAAAGACAAGCAGTAAATAAAATAAACGAGCAATCAATATAAGAAATAAAAATGAAGGCAAAGATCAAATAAAATACAAATAAATAATCATATAATATCCAAAAAATTATAATAAACGAAAGGGGCACTACAAAATCCTATTGCCTCTCGCTTCTGGCTGTCGATTAACGTAGTGGAAATCCCAATTCTCAAGTTAATTTGCAGAATGTTGATCTTCGAGTTTTGGCGGACGAAGATGGAGATTATAGGGTTTAAGATTTTGAGGTGACCTAGTGTGATGTAGTGTAATCACATGATGGAATCCCACTTTACTCTCTTACTAGACGATAACCGATGTTAACTGTCTGCCGAAATTTTATTTTATTATTATTATTTTATATTTTCAATTGTTTTAAGATGATAATAGTATTAGTATATATTTTATATTTTCAATTGTTTTAAGATGATGATGATGATGATGATGATGATAATAATAATAATAATAATAATAATAATAATAATAATAATAATAATAATAATAATAATAATAATAATAATAATAATAATAATAATAATAATAATAAATTAGATATATATTAGACACTCGCAACAAAAACACATGGGAGCGAATATCCTTTCATATAAACAACGCACACGATGCTTAATTTTAAAATTAATTTTATTACAGTTATAATGTGGGAAAGAAATAATAAAATAGGACATTATATCTTTGACACAGGAGATAAATTGAGGATAATGGAGCTCATATAACAGGGGTGAAAGTAATGAAGTGCAATACTAAATATTTAATGAAATTATTTATTATTAATGATTAAAGAAATAGGGTGGACCACAACCCAAGTATCTCTTAGCCCATTGAGAATGTAACAATCTTAGGGACCTTGTTGTACCATATAAATGAGTCATGTGGGAAACTCAATTCTCATGCATAAGATCCCAATCATTCACACGCTAAACACTTGAGAAGAGAGGAAAAAAAAAAGAGAAAGAGAGTTCAACCACACGTGTTCGGTAGATCGTCGCACACACGGTGTTGTCCGAAGCAAAAGATATACAATAGAACACTCAAGGTGTTGCGGCACATCACCTGTAACTAAAGCAATCACCATCGACCGGCGCACCATTAGTCGCATGCGACTGCGCAGCCCCAAACAACACGCCCCAGCGCTGCAGCGAGACACGCCTAGCAGCAGTCGCGCAACACTAGTGCATGGACGCTCGGCAAACCTCGCGGACAACACCCGACGACTCAATGATTGCGCTGATGACACTACATGGAGAGAAGGACAATATGTTGGGTTCGATATACCATACGGAA